AGGCGTGTTTTACCGTACATGCGCTCCATTAACGTCTCGCTTGACAGAGATACAGAGGACAGAGGAGTTGGTGACATCGGGAGAAGCGATATACGATCGGAACGTATACGTGCGATCGTATTACGCGACACAGGATCCACGAGACAAAGACAGAAAGAGAAAGAGAAAGAAAGTGAGAGGCTGGTGCGGTGGTGATACAGAAAGAAAAAAAAAAGAACAAAAAAAGAGAAAGATACATCAGGAGCGATATAATTAGCTGCCGCAGTGACAATAATCATGGCGATGCAAATTGCTTGACGCCGATATATATATACTGGCTGCCGGTTTTCTGGTCTTCTTTTTTTATTTGTGGAGGATAGTTTAGAATCAACCACAAAGACGGGTGTCGCATGTAATAATATATATATGTATATATATAATAAGCACACGGGCGAAAAATATTAATCGAAACTCGCAGTCCGCAAGCACTTACTTGTTAAACAAAATGCAGACATTGTGAGACGTGTGTAGAGAGACAGATAAGTAGTAGTAAGTAGTAGTAGAAGAGATAGAGATAGAGACAGAGAAAGATAGAGAACACAAAAGGCAAACTGAAAAAGGTCTGCTTGTAGGAAATCATAGTACATGGTACATATCGATCAAAAAAGTGTTCGCAAAAAAAAAAAAAAAGTTAGAATATATCAGAGGAACCAAATAAAGACGATGAAAATATATATGTATAGATAAATATAGAGAGAAACGGTTAATCAGATTATTTAACACGGTCAAACAATGAGCAAACTTGCGGATGATAGTGGACTTGCGGACTAACCATGTAGTAATCCTGAGAAGGGGATCTGCCTGTCACAGATACATTCTGCACCAGAGTTCTATTGCTCGTCTGAAAGTAGGTGACACATCCAGTTTTACATCATTAGCTTCACGTGACATTCCAGGGTAATTGTATTTTTTTTTCTTTTTTCTTGTCCTATCTCTTTTCTGTCTTTCTTAAATCGTCTGTTCGATTTTCCGTTCTGTTTTTTTTTCCTGTTTCCTTTCAGTTTTTTTTTTTATTATTATTATTAAAGCCGTTCTATATTAACGTGTGCTTCTCGTGATATTGAATACTTAATGACCGTTGACTGTGCGAGACAGACGAAGTTATAGAGAAAAAAGGGGGAAGAGAATGTAAAGAGAATAGAAAGTACGTATAGTGTAGCTATATATAATATATATAATATAAAGTAGAGAAAATTAGTAGAGAGACAGACAGAGAGAGAGAAAGGAAATATACGTATTCGCCGCGAGTTTCTAGATGGACTAGAATTTCGTACATACGTTGCGTGCAACTCATCCGTTCTACATTTTATTCATTTATTTTTAAATCGCATCGTGACCGGCTGTAACGGAGCTGCAACGGACCAGCGACAGTCGTTTTCTTTGTCGCGCCACAGCCCGAGCCGCCAAAGTGATTGACAGTTAGATACATAGACAGATATTTGACATTACTGCAAAAAAAATTCGCTGCGCAATCATCGTATAGAGTTTATCGGGTGTCTCGGGGATTCTTCGACGAGAAACGGATCGCAATCGTTGCATCTGGCACACGCCTAACTAATAGACTGTCGACCATCGACTGATGTTGCCGCCTTGTTGACCGTAACCGTTGCGAAAAGTAATTTGGACAGAATACATAAATGCGTGTGAAACGTTTTTACAACTTGGGGATTTGCGATTTTTAATATTAACGGAGACATACCTAACGCGACGCGGCGAACGAACGCACCGTCATTCAGCACCGTCCGCTTTAACTTGTGCGACAGAGTAGAGCCTTCCGCTTCAACGTAAAATCGATAGGAATAGCGGGCGGCTAAAGCGGCTAAGGACAATAGCGAAGTGGAATGAATCTTTTACGTATTACGTTCTTGAACCTCGCGCAACAACGAAAGTTTCGTTTTGCCGGCTAATTACGTGTAACCGTAGGCGACGGATTTAGATACGTTACGTACGAAGATGGGAAGGGATTACCTACTTTACACGAGTTACCCGCGCGAGAGTTACGTAAGAGTCACCCGTTTTAACGGCGAGTGTGGGAAATCATATGGCGAAGTCGATGTGTAAAGACGTCTCTTGCGAGAGAAAGTTAGGCGAAGAAAGTTTACCACGAGGTGCTTACACGTGGGTCGATTTCAACATCCTGCTTAACGTCACTCGAATATTCAAAAACAGTGCTTCACGGTGAGAGTATATATAGATATGTACTTTACAAAGACAACAGAGTCTAGAGGGGCGAATCTCCCCCGGGGTGGGAGTGTCTTGAGTTCATCGATCGGCGAGACATAGACATCGATCACTGGACTTGGAGAAGAGTGGTGCACACACTTTCGGGGTTACGGAGACGTGCCCTCCCGAGACGAGGAAACGAGAGCGTATTCTGACATGTAATCTCATGAGGACTAAAGAAGTGAGATAGAGCATATATCAAGGGAAAAGAGTGGGGAAACCGAGCGTAAGAGATATCGGGAACGGGAGAGAAACAAACAGAGAGAAAGAGAGTTAGAGAGTAGAGAAAGAAAGAAGAGATTGGCTGAGGACTGCGTGGACCACTGCTAAGTTGGTTCTGGCTGTCTGTGGAGAGCTACTGTGGATGCAAGCTGTACGGGATATAAGAACGTATATATAATATATATGTAATATATATGTACGCGCAAATATATGTAAGATATATATGTGCTCAGGTCGAAAACTCGTCGACGCCAGGAAGTAGTATCAGGAGAAACTCGACTTGATCAGAAATCGGTGATATATCCTGCTGGTTTCTATTCTCCCTACGCATTGGTCACGACACTCGCGATCTTCTCTGAGGGATGTGAGTGAGTACCGCGATCAGGAGAGCTGGGACAAGGCGGAGACGTTTAGATTTGCATGTCAAATAAATTAGATCGAAACAAACGATCACTAGATTTTTAAAACTGTACAGTTTTAAAAACCTACACTCCATCTTTACTCCAATCTTGTATTGGTCCCACACAGCACGCTTTATCCTAAGAACATCCTGGAAACATCCTTAAGATATAGAACATTCTCTGGACGTTTTTAAGTCTTGGAAGTCCGTGCTGTATAGAATTGGTCCACGAAACACTTTGTTAATTTTCGTTCAACTTGAAGATACGAAAAGAACGTCGAAGGCAAACCTTGTATAACCTCAAGGGAAGAAATGTGGATGCAGGGAAGAAAAATCTCATTCGTGTATCTTCGAATCTAGGAGAATTGCCAAAGCGGTTCCGGCTATGATTTGCCATCCCGCATACGCGTTTACTTCAATCACAGTTGATTTTCCATGCAAATCCCGCGGATAAAGACATCACACGTCTAGTCCCAACTGTCCTCGCGTTGCTCCCATATCGCTGGTATTCGCGTATACGAGGGGGTGGAGATTATACGGGCGGAGAACAAGCACTAATTTGTGCGTTTACTACGGCAGGTCTCTATGTGTGTATTGTGTATGTGCGTCAACCCTATCAGTGCGTCGTTCTCGTCGAAGAGTCGTGCATGCGCGATCAGTGACGCTGGTCGAGTCGTAACGAGTTCAAGTAAAACGTTTCTTTTTTTTATCTCGCGTTATCGTCTCTTGTCTGCCGTTTCTCTACGTTCGGTCCTGTCACCCTAATCGCGGGGCCGATCGACCGGATCCGGTCGATCGAGACCCGCGACCGATTTCCCCTACCTGAGATAATGACATGACAGATTAGACCTAGCTTCTCTTATCGGCGTAGACTTATACACTGAGTTTACTTGTTTAGAAATATATATAGATATAAATATGTATATATGTACATGAATATGTGCACGTGTTGTCCTAATTGGTAAGAGACACACGGTCAGATGTATCGCGTCTCTGAAGGAGTGAGTGGGAGAGCAACACCGATCCGAGAGTGTAGTTTGTGAAAAATCGTGCGTGGCTCTTCGCTCTCCTCCTTCAGCCAAAGATCGTTTCCCGCGCGCTCACACGAGCGGGCTGTCGAGTGGGCGGTTAACGATCCGTCTACTTGGACGCGTTCAATCGTCTGTTGAGGCACTTATCGCACACGGTCGTCGATATCATCGGTTCGAAGTGTGGAAAAACGCGGCCGCGGTTCTCTAACGTGGTAATGGTGGAACTCAAATGAAAATGCAAACCAAGGTAACGGTCAAAACTGAAACAACTCGTTATTATCGTCGCCGTCGATGGTAATAAGTAGAGTGGTAATAGTATACAAGTAGTATAAATGGATTTATTATATTCTGTATACGTATTTGTTGATAATAAGAAGAAATACGCGCACGCATACGTTCGACGTGCATACGAACGTCGAGTAATTGCGCGCGTACACTGAAAAAAATACTAAATTTTAATAAATATTTGAATAGTTCCAAGTAAACATTTACCAATGTAGACATATATGTATTTATTTGGTACAACAACTATTTAGCTACAGCACTTTTTTTATTGAGTAAATACTTATTTGTTATAAGTAAATGTTTATACTTAGTACTATTTAAAAAAATACGTATTAAGATTTAGTAAATTTCTTTTTCAGTGCGCTGTTAAAAGAAAGAAACAAAGATTTCGGTCCACTTGATGCTATTGATGCTTTGAAAGCATTCTTTGATTGGTCAATTGGTAACGTTCTTTCTTCTGATTGATCAATCAAACGCTTCGAAGCATTTCTAGTTAAGTGGACCGCATCCAAAGTAAAGAAAAGAAAAGAAAAGAGTCCTGAGAGTTTAAAAAACGTTAAGAGGACCGTATGTGACTCGTGTGGTCTCGCCACCTGAACCCGTTGGATCCGGGGGCGGTTTTTTTGTTGAGTTTTCTCATTTATGTTTTCGTGAATAGAACAGGAATCGAGAGAATATTGAATCTTGAGTTGAATGATGAGATAATGAGAGAATGAAAAAGAGAGAGAGAGACAGAGTGACAGAGAAAGATAGATAGGTAGATAGACAAAGAGAGAGAAAAGAGAGATAGGGATAGTTACCTGTGTTTGTAGCCGTGTTAGACCACGGATCCATAGAATTTGTCCTGCGCGCGGCTTTTTATCCGAGTCGGGGTCGAATTTCTCGTCTCCTAGATTGATCGCACCGATATCATCCGGCTGGCCGCGGCCCCATCTGTTTTTGAAAAAAACATGAAACCATTTCTTCATCACTCGGATTCTTCCTGTTAATTGAATGGATTAGAGAATGGTGTGGTATACTTTGTACTGTTAATTTCTTTCTTATGTTCTTTCTTTTTTTGGGCAGCCGAGACGGAAGTTTCACAACCGGCGCTCTCTTCTCGGGCACGCTGCACCCGACACCGTTTTCCCCTCGCTCCTCAGGAAATCCCTAATCTATTTACGATGTGCTAACGCTACGCGGGACTCGATGGTGTAAGTAAAAGAATAGATTTATCGGTGATAAGACCGGGCGAGATAGTGACCCAGGTGCATGTTTGTGCGTGTAAGTATATGGTTGACGAGTGGATTGACTCCTATTATTGCCGTGACGGAAAGGTGTGATGAAATGCGGAGTGTTTGCTAACAGATATATTTGATGACGACACGCTGAGATGATCTTTTGTTGACGAAAATTTCGAGACGGGCGCGGTTCTTCAGTTATTTTCCAAATACAGAGTAGATACCTGGATAACGTTATAAAGATGCCATAAGGACGTCATCATGATATTATATTAAGTATCAAGTGAATTTATAAGTGATAAATAAAATTATAACGATGTCCTTATAATATTATTAGGACTTCTGTTCTATTTGGATAAATTCTGACTATCTGGTTAATTCAAAATAGTGTTTCCCGCCAACAATAATAAGTGGAAAGTGGATCGATAAGTGAATAATACAAGTAAGAGAAAGAATTTTATATTCGAAGCGAATCTTGAATCTTAATAATATGTAAATTTTCAAATACATTTTCAGTTCTAGAAATTCTATTTTCAGAGTTTAGAAGGAACGATCAAGACGTTCAACTTTAAAGGAATACAAAAGATGTACCTAATCAATCTTACGAGAAGAAATTATTTCAATCTTCGATCAAATAGGCTGTTTAGCGCACACTCCATACGTTAGTGAATAGGGAGATGCATAGTGGGTGCAAGTGCAAATATGTCGTGAGCAAAATATGCGTTCTATTGCGATACGGTGCAAGAAGTTAGTCAGTCAATTTAAAGCATTAGAAAAGCGAAACTTTTCTTCGATCGCTGTCGATTCAGCCTTCCACGTTACAACCGATGGTAAGCATGAAGAAATACGAGAAATGAGTGAAAAGAAGAGAATGAGAAAGAGAGAGAGAGGAGAAGATATAAGATTACATGTGCGCGAGATGACAGAGAGAATGCATTTTTTTTTCTTCGCATCCGATGTGTGATACGTTAGTTTTCCCGATTCAAAGCTTTCCTCGACGATGAGGTACTGATAACATTCTGCTTTGATAAGCCACCACATACCTTCGTCCTGCAGTGTTACATATCAAAGAATCAATGGTAACCCTTGAGTTAAATAACATTTTGTTATTTTTAACTTCCATATGAATCAAAATGTAAATTAATTCATTTCTATGGTTAATTTCAAAGTAAACAACGTCTATATTAACGTATATACTTAGTAAATAATAAACTGAGTCAAATTTAATATCTACATATTCTTGAGTTAAATTGTTTCACTTCATTGTTTTAGTTAAATTAACGTCATAATGAGTAAGAGCAGTGACGATCTAAAGAAATAATTAAAAATAAACAAAGTAGATTGAAAATAACTCAAATTGGGTTTAATTTGACGTTATATGAATTTAACAAGTGTGTTAACGTGTTGTGTTTCCGTTTCGTTGGCCTGTGTCTTTCTATCTCGCGTCGTCGGTTCGTCTTCTCCGTTATTTCTAGTCTTTCAGGACACGTCGTGAATTTTGCGTCAGGTCGTCGCTTTGGCAAAAAGCAGGTGCGATTCTTACCTGTTGAACGACACAGGCGCGAAAAAGCGCGTAGTGCCGATGTGACTACGTGCCGCCTGTCGTCGCTATTTATAGGCACTCGCACAGGCTCTCTCGTGGAGAACGGCACTCGACGATGGACGGAACGATGTGTCGGGCCGATCCGTAAATTCACGCGATAATTAACGTCTACGTGCGGGGGAAAAAAAAATCAAATAAAGCAAGAATAATCTAAAAAACGAAGCAATTTATTTACCGCCGAATTAGGTTCCATCTCCTTTAAAAATCAATCGGAAATACACGTGAACTCAGAGACCAACCCGACGGGAATTGCTCTTTTCTGTTCTTCATATATAGCGAGCGCACGTCATCGGTTCTCGCCGTCCTGGACGATGCCAGGACGCGATAGATGCATGTACAATATCATACAATATATCGAAGGGAAATATGTATATCGGGTTTCTGTTCACCTACGAAACGGCATACACACGCACACACGCATACTAACATCGTGAATAGCCGGGCTGGTACCGTTGTGTTATACAAGCGGGTACATGTACCGTACTACATACACGGCGGTAAAAGCTTCGCGAGAGAACACTCCCTGTAACCTTTGGCTAGCTGACCCTTCCGCTCGTGTAGCATTTTAGTAGTGCCCTCGGCTCGCGTACACAGAGTAGCGGCAAAAAGCGTGTATATTCTCGACTCAACGCGAGATTAACCCGCTCGCCTGTTACACGGGCGAGCTTCTCGCATGCGGCGGCATTCGAACCGTGCTTCTCTTGCGTATTAGGAGCTGTCAGCTTGAAGGGGGAAAAAAAGGAAAAAAAAAAAGAGAGAGATACAGGGGAGAGAGAAAAAGGTATCAATGCGAAAGAGTAGTACGAATGATTGAAACTGTTATAATCGGCGAATTTAGATTTTAAATTCAAATGCAGCAAGCAAGTAAAAAAAGTTTTTATATCTTTTTTCATTCTCAATATTTCGCTGTATTGATAGGAAGTGACACTTTTTCAAAATTAATAACTTTTCAGTAGAGCACTTTTAATCCTCTGCAATCATATTTTTAATCCCCCACCCCCCATTTGCAATCTGAGTCTTTTCTGTTTAAATTTTTTTACTATTCTAGATTTCAAAAAAATGTGGAAAAATTCAGAATTATTTTTCAACATCTCCATTATATTATCAAATAGTTCTTTTTTAACTCAAATGTTAAAATCTTGAAATTGAAATTTGAATAAAAATAAAGAAGAAATTTGAAAGTCAAGTTTCGCTTGTGTTTAAAAGACCCAAATTAGAGATGGAGAATTAAAATTCTAAATTGATTTTAATTGGAATAGTAAATATATGTGCATAACTTTACTTTTCCTTCCGTGTTACACTTTTAATTATATGTACTCTTTAAAACTATGTCATGAGTTTTCAAAATTCCAATACTGCAACCCTTTTCTGTCAACACAGTGATTTATCTTTTCTTTCTCAATGAAAATACTTTTTTCTTGCTTACAACATCGAAGACTGATCCTCGCCGAGATTACGTTGGTTTCATTGACAGGTGTAGACAATTAGAGTCACTATAGAGAGTCATATCCAGTCGGGCATGATTGTGTACGTGTATATATATATATATGGAAAAGAAGAGAAAACGTGTTGAATAAGGAAAAGGATGAGGTAAAAGGCGATGTAAGGATAAAAGAAAAGGAGAAAGAGAAAGAAAGAACGCTGAGAGATCGCGTAAATTCAACGAATCGAGTGAAAGAGCGTGTGTTAATAAGCGTTATTGATCGCGCGATCCTTTTTGGATTGTTCCTCATGCTCAGTTTAAATTAATTATCGAATAATCGCGTTATTAAGCTAAATAAGCTCTTGTTTTTTTTTTCCAATCCGTCTCGTTGAATATTCAAGATCGTGCGCTATGCATCGAACCTCGATTAGTGCTTGCGACAACATAACGCCCGCTGTCGCCGGTCGCTCGACACCGCTTATACAAACAAGTAAGTAGATTTCCAAGATGGCTGTAATCATGCAACGATTAAGGCCAAATTACTTACAGGTTGGAGGAGCGAGGAAATACCCGGGATGGGGTTCATCTCAGCGTGCGTGATCATTTACATTTGATCACGATTGTTGATTTATGATCGGTGAAACGATATGATTGCTGCCAATTATAGTACCAAATAATTTTTGAAGTAGAATCATTTCTAAAATTATCTTACACTTTTATTGAAATTTTCGTCATCACGATGACTTTATTTTAATATAAATGTAATTATATGCTGTCTGTGAGAATCCTAATGCCCGTATCAAATTAGAAATTAAAATGGAATTTAACCAATCAGAAGAAGAAAAAACCAATATCAAGCTTAATAAATTTTATTTTGGTTGGTTAAATTTCAATTCAATCTTAATATCAATCTCTAGTTTGATACGGCTACAGTTGTGATTATCTTTTTTATTACAGTATCTATATATAATTATCCAATTAGACTGCCAATTCGTTAATTTATAATTTTGTAATTATACAAGTCCAACTTGTTAATACGGATATAATTGAATTTTATATGTAACAGTTACTTCGAGATTACTTTACAGGTTCATTAAAGATTCCTATTCCAGACCAAAGTGAAACAATCACGCGAGCTTGCACAAGGGAGGTAACATTCTTCGGGAGTCGACATAAACTGTTACTAATCCTGCGGTATATATAAAATATATATGTGTGTGTTTGTACTGATTAGCACGAGTGAGTTCTAGATTTGGCATGCAAAGGCATCTACCGCTAATGAGACGAAAACTTAGAATGCTAATTCACGTATAATGATAGATTAGATAGCAATTCCGTAGATAGTCCATATAGATATCTATATTTACTCTAAGCTTTACGGATTTGAGCACAATGCTGACGTGTCAATGATATTAATTTTACTGATCACAAGAGACAGTCCATTCACCTTACATTTTTTTTATTTTTGATATTTATTATGATTTTGAAATAAAAACATCATGATGTAAAAATTTCAATTGTATACACATATATATGTATATAAATATATAAATCTTCATAATTGTAATATATATATTCGCGCGTGATCAATATTGTCGGAATTTTTATTATAGATTTTGGAAATTGCACGATTATGAAACTTAAACTAAATCTTAAACTAATCTCATTTTTAAATAAATCGTTCTCTACAAAAAGAAAAGCATCAAGTGTTGTGAGTATGCGGTTTTGTTCATTTCTCTCTTTGCAATAAACCTCGTGCTCAAAGATCAAACAAAAGAAATCGTGTTTGTATGTAGGTATATGTAGGTGTACATGTTTGTGAGTACGTAATTTTAACTTACGAAAGAATTTTGGGAATTCGGCGTGTAGGAATAGTCGTAACTATTTGGCCCCATATTAGCGTACCGATTCCGAAGAACAGGCACCACAACCACTGGTCTAACGTGAGCGCTCTGGTGCTGAATGCCATTTTACCGTATTGTATGATAAACACCTATAAACAAAATAAACAGACAATTGTTTATTAAAACACAATGTTATTTAAATCATCGTTAAAAACAAGCTGCTCATCGTTGTTTTGCAATGTATCAATGAACAAATAAATAAAATTACTATTATACGAGATATTTATCAATGGAATTCTAATCCAGTGATCCGCCGTCCTTACATCGCGTCCTCATAGCAATAGATAGAAGTAAGAATAATTGATAACTTACTTGCGCGAAACACGTGCAGATCCAAATCGTATAGAAGATGGGGTTGGTGAATATTCCCTGGAAGACATTGCGTTGACCATGAATTTTCCTAGCGTTGAATTCGTTGAAAAGAGTCATCATGACGAACGTGTTGAAGATGACGGTGAAGTGTTGCGTGGGCCCGCCGCCTGCCGCCGCCACTCCGCGGCCCGTATCGATGTCGAGCATCAGGTCACCTGCGGCAGCCATTCGCGAAAGCTTTAGAATGTTTTGCTCGATAAAAACATCGAACAATGGAAGTTCGACGAGGGGAATTGGCGAGATCGTGGAATCACAGGAAGAGGGAAAGGAATAGTACTCACCGGCGAAAAGAAGCGAGAAAATTACACCCAACTGATAAAAGGCCTGACCGAGAATATTTTTCATCATTGTCCTGGAAATGAGTGGTTTTGTGCGACCGTACGGTCTACGGAGGAGTAGATCGGGCGTAGGCAATTCGGTGGCCAAGGCGAGGGACGCTAATGTGTCCATGATTAGGTTTACCCACAACATCTGCACCGCCTTAAGCGGCGAGTCCTGCACGGCACAAGCACCGATGAAAGCGACGATCACGGCGACCACATTGACGGTCAGTTGGAACTGCAGAAACTTGGCGATGCTATCGTAGACGTTTCTGCCCCACATAACCGCCTTCACGATCGACGAGAAGTTATCGTCCGTCAGTATGATGTCGGACGCTTCCTTGGCGACGTCCGTGCCGGCGATACCCATGGCAAAACCGACATCGGCCTTTTTCAAAGCCGGACCGTCGTTCGTGCCATCGCCGGTTACCGCCACGACCTCGCGACTCTCGCTCGCCTTGCTGTCAATGATGCCTTTCACCAAGGTGTACTTGTCGGTGGGAGACGATCTGGCCAATACTCGTAGTTTTGGCCACACTTTGTCCAGCAAATGTTGCTGCACCTCGCCGTTGCTGTCTCTGATCCTGCGATTGAACTCCTTGCCCTCCAGAATGAGGAAGTCTTCGTTCGGCTTCAGGATACCACACTTGAGCGCGATGGATCGCGCGGTGTTTATATTGTCACCCGTAACCATGCGCACAGTGATGCCGGCCTTTTGGCATTTTTTGATCGCGTCCGGTACCTCGGGACGTACCGGATCCTCGATACCGACGATGCACAGGCAGGTGAGGTTGTTCACTAGATTATCCTCGTCGTCCCAATTGGGCTCGTTGTCGATGTGAACTTGATTGATCTCCGCCTTGCCAGGAACAAAATCGCGATAAGCGATGGAGATGGTACGCAGCCCGTCGCATGCCATGGGTTCGATCACGTTCTTTACTAGACGCTCTTGCATATCTCTGGTAAACGTCTCCAGATGACCCTCGCGACCATATATAAAGGCACATCTGTAATTAAGTCAATCAGATTTCTAAATTCTTCTTTAATCTCAAAGAAAAAGAAATCAATTTCAGGACACTAAGGTCGAATAAATTTTTCTCTTTTGAAAAACACATAGTTCTTGTTTAAAAAAAATTGGAATTGCCGAGAAATGATTGAAATCGTAGGACTTAAATTTTTCTAAATCGTAACACAATGTAAACGTTAGAATGAAATTATATACGTACTTCTTCATGATGATCTCGGAAGCGCCCTTGGTGAAGAGCCTGAATCCACCACCCTTTCTAGGGATAACGGTGGACATGCTCTTTCTTACGCTATTAAACGTATACACCCGCGTAAAGGTTTCCTCAGGATAGTCGTCCCGCACAGTTTGATATTTCTTGCCCAGGGCTAATACGAATCCAAGTAAGGCACATTCGGTTTTGTTGCCAACCTGTAACGGCAATTCAGTAGGGTCCGGCGGCTCCATTATCCGCGACGTGTACGCCGAATTGATGGAGATGGCCTGTAAGATCAACTCGCCGATGTGGCTCGGTATGTCCGAGAAATTCGGCGTTGTCTTGCACATCTTCTCACATATATATGACTGTACCACGGTCATGCGGTTCGTGGTCAGGGTGCCGGTCTTGTCCGAGCAAATGGCGGTGGCGTTACCCATCGTCTCGCAGGCGTCCAAGTGACGCACCAGATTGTTGTCCTTCATCATTTTCTGCACAGAGAAAAACGGACGGTCTCAAAGAGGGGAAAAAAGAACAATGGTTTCCGTAAAGTCAAGAGGAAATTCCTGTAATCTCACCTTGACGGAATAAGCGAGCGACAAGGTGACGGCTAGAGGAAGACCCTCGGGTACGGCGACTACGAGCACCGTGACACCGATGATCAGATGCCGCACCAGATCACCGGCGTACGTGTTTCGCCACGGCTTGCCCTCTATGACGAAGGTCGTCACGCAGAACTGTATGACTAGAATGACGACTGTGAGCACCGCGATGGTCGAGCCGGCGTAACCGATCTGTATGGCGAGTTTAGTTAGCTTGGCTTGCAGAACACTCTTTTCTTTCTTCCCGCTCTCCCCGGCGCTCGCGGGTGCGGCCGCGTGATGATTCTCGCCGCCCTCGTGCTTGACACCGCCGCCACCGCCACCGCCACCGCCGCCACCTCCACCGCCTCCGCCGCCGCTTCCCGTCACGTGACTGTTCCCGGTAATCTCTACCGACTCCTCTCCTTGATTTACAGTGCCAAGATTAGACCACGTTCCATCGCTATATACCAATCGAGGCTCAATCGACTCGAGTGATCCAATCTTTACTCACGCCTCAGCAAAGACTCTGATCATGCTTGGCTGCTAATCGATCGCAACGCCGACTGAACCTCGATCGTTAAACTTAGCATGGGTATATACCAAGTTGTTAAAAGCATTCTAATAAAAATAGTGGATGCTACTCGAGTTAATGGATAAAAGTTTAATGAAAGATGATTAAGATTAAGTGGCACAGCAGTTACATGTTAAAAACACAGATTTAAAACCACGGGTGTTTATATCATTACTAAAATGCAGAAAACGAGAAGCTAATGCAAGAACGAGATAGCCGCTAACGTGTCAAATGCATATAAACCACTGCCAATAGAACACGCAAAAATCAATAGGGAATACGGAAGCGTGGACAGTGTAATTTCATTTCTTCTTTTACACTCGGACCTGGATATAGCGTTTAGTAGCGAGCAATATATCGACATAACACGAAATCGTGTCTTTTAAATAAAATGCATAGTGTCCACCCTCATTATAATTTTCATTATTTTAAGTTAATATTATTGCTTCAAAGCGTGCAATATATCCCAGGTCCGAGTACACTTAAATTGTGCTCAATGAAAAAAGGGAAAACCGACTTTAATCGAATATTGCCAATGCGATAAAATATTCCTTCATACGCAACATTAGTATACACATAGTGTAAGGTCATAGGTACAATTAATCGAAATAATATAGAAAAAAGAAAATATACCCGCCGAGTGATATAGAAAAATAAAGAAGATGAAGTGAGAGATAAAAGAAAATTGAATACTGCCTTGAGAATTCGATCAATTTCTTGGTATTAATAGTAACGTATATGTGTATAAAGTACACATAATTATATATTGAGATAAAAACAATAAGAATATGTATATATATATAGATAGATATTATTTAGAATTATTCACCTGGTAATGACTTCTTCTTCCGCTGCTTTTTAGCCTCTAGATAAAAAAATACATGCAAAACGAAATTGATTAGCGATCTATCTGAAAATGTATATGCCAATAAGTCGCGCCATTAACAGAATTCAGGTCTTTTAATTATAATTCTTTTTCTTCCATTTCTCGTTAATTTTCGTAAGAGGAGTACTTAATATTAACAAATGAGGTAGGTACAGCCCAGAAGGTCTAACATAAAGAATGAAAAACGGCTACTGTTTTATGATAAATGGACAAATTTTCACTAATATAATTGTAAAAGTGCATAAGAATGCATTCCTGGTAATACATACACGCACGCACGCCCGCGCCAGGAATATACAAATTCACCTTCCAGGTTGTGCAACAACGAAATGCATACAGAGGAGCATGGATCGTCAAAGAAAGAAATTATGTCTTTGATATTCTATTTCCATATATAAAATGTCCCAAAAATGGCGTACTTTTCTTAAATTGAATTAAAAATAACAACTTATATCCAATATAACAAATTATATCTAATATATATCAAAGATTCTGATAAGTTTAGTGTTTGAAAACAATTCCCCCTTCCCCTCTTTTTTTTAAGTAAAAATCGAACCTTGACATTTTTAATATAGCATTATTAAAATGTAAAATTTAAAAGTTTTAGTCTCTGATTTGAAAAGTACGTGACTTGTAAGACAGTTTCTATAAAAATAATTTGAAAAGATTATAGAATAACAATTTAACCAATTTTGCAATTATCAAATGTGAACCTCATATACACATATCAGACAAAGATAAGAAAACATTATACAGCAGAAACATTATACAGCGGAAACATTTTAGCTATGTAGAGAGGAATAATAACACAAATGACTCAAGAAAATATATGAGACATAATCAAATAATGGCACCTTGAAAATATTCTACCGATAAGAGCTTCTTCTCATAAATTATATATGACACTTTACTAAAGATAAGTTGGCAGAAATAACTGTAATTTGCAGATATTACTTTCGATGTTTGTTTACAGCGTCTAATATATATTGAATGTGTATAATTGAATGGGGAAAGAATTTTTTGTTAATGAAAGAATTGTCATGTAACAATACTGCTGCGTCATTGCATTTTACGAGAATATTTTACACTTTATAAAACTAGAAAGTGTACGTTCTTGAAACGTTAACAAATCAAAACACAGGTTCTCTATGGCCAATCAGTTAATGAGTTAATAAAAATACAGAAATCCATCTGTAGGGGTTGCAAATGCGATGTCGAGGGTAAAAACAGGGAATAAAGAAATGACTATATTGTAAAATCTGTAATAAAAAATTGTCACACCAATTCACGTCAAAACCATGCGTCCACTGCGATTCGTCTACACTCCTTTTGAAACATTTCGTAAATATCATGCGAGGATATAATAGAATACCAACAACTTCTATTAAAGGCAAATCATCGTAAATTCGCTGCTTGTACGTCATAACATATTCATTTATTGGCTTTACAATAGACTTTTCAATAGTTTACTGAATGATTCAGAAGTTGCTAGTAGAGAGAGACAGGTGTACTAAATCATCAGAGTGGAAAAAATATGGGAATATCGATTTTGAAATTAATCTAACAAAATCTAATAGAATTTCAAAAAACACGTACTATATAAGTGTAAATATAAAAGATTACATTACTCCAAGAATTTAGTAACATCTGTATAAATATATAATCATTCAAAGTGATTAGTCGATCGGAAGTAACGATTACACGTACCTTTCTTCATTTTCTTGATTTCTTGCTCCTGTTGATCAACAGCAGCACCCAGTAAGGTAAAGATAATACCCGCTTGGGAGTTAACACCTACTGCAGTAACTAACATTTTTCCGGAACCCTCCATCACGTGCGTACCTTTTCAACAATACAATATACACAAAATAATTTTCCGTCCTATGACAATTCTTCAAAAATTTTGAACATTTTTTTATACATTAGAAATAATGTATCAACGAGGATAATTCAATCAAGGCTCTCTCACCTGAAAGTACCATAGGATCGAACGCTTCCCCTTTCTTTACATGATCTGACTCTCCAGTCAGACTGGATTCATCCACTTTGAGATCGTTGCTTTGTATAAGAATACCGTCTGCAGGCAACAGGTCTCCATATTTTATCTATATTGTCAAACAGCTAATTTAATGTAAATTTTGCTTTCCTCTACTACATTAATATCAACAGAGATACCGTACAAAGTTAATCCAACATTAACAGGTTATTATATATTTAAAGACTATAAAGAATGTAATTAACGATATATACCTGACAAATGTCACCCACAACAATGTCAGATACGGAGATTTGTTTCACTTCTCCTTGCCGTATAACCGAGAACTTGTGTTCTCCTTCTATCCGACTTTGAAGACCTCTAAACTGTCTCTCCTTGGAATAGTCATTAAACGCCGTCACTAAGACCACCACAATTACAGAAATCAAAATAGCGAGTCCTTCAATCCAACCGTATTTCGCTTCGTCCTCATCTACACTCACAACTAGAGATAAACGAAACAAATTATTGTAAAAATCTCTTTCTCTCTCTCTCTCTCTCTAGAGTCTTTCTAAACCTAAAGCTGACACTCTCTGCAGTTATTACATATACACACTATATATATACACACATATATATATGTATATATATATATATAAAAGATTTTAATATAAATTTCTTACTATACTATCTAACAATAAGTGGAAACTACTCATAGATAAATATATGACATCACATCATAAATACTTACCTTCTTTTTCCTCATCATCAGCAGGATGATAAAAGCTAAGACCTAATGAAACCAATGCTGCTACTTCTAAGATGATTAACGTGACATCTTGCAATGCTTCCCATACTAACTGTAAAAATGTTTTTGGTGGTTTTGGAGGTATCATATTGGAACCAAATGTATCTCGCCTATGTTGTATGTCCGCTGCTGATCCACTAAGACCTACACAAATTATCACAATATATTTCTCATCATGTTTTTCTATGTCAGAATTTTTGTCATGATTCTTAGACTGGTAGTCCAGTTCTTACATTTAAGCCTTTTTAAGTATAGTCTTAAGATTAATGTCTAAGTCAACTATAGAGCCATATTAGCATCTTAAGACATTACTTAAGACGATCTTAAAATAACAACTGACTATGAATATCGGCTTAAGTTTTCAGAGATTAGAAGAAAGGTGAAGCTTATCTCTTGTCGACATACATGCTCTGTCCTAGCAAGATACAGTTGACGAACCTACCTTCATTGGGTGAAGTATACAGCTTTTTACAAATCTCCTGCACACCACCGTAGCCATTGATCTTGTTGACACCTTCGCGACCCCGGAGCTCCATGAGCTCACGGAGTTGCTTAAGCGTGACACCATATTGGGCCGGCCGGCCGTCTATCGTCGCCATGATATCCCTGTCGCCTCCGTTGGCCGAAGCCAACTACTGTTGCGCTTCCGCAAGGCTACCACAGCTCGTATTATTCTCTGGCGTCTCTGCTCCACTGGCCTCCAAGTGAATGGAGGACCAACGGCTGAAACATAAGAGAGACCTTCTTCAATTATTAAGTTTACAAGGTGCAATGAGATGCTAAATGGATATAAACACATGTTCCATGTTACATTCATATACACATGTTACGTTTAGTTCCATTTGTAAGTTAAATTATCGCAGTGTGCCCACTGACTGGGAATTACAGTCTATGGGCTACGTCGACGCGTCTCGGAGAAAGGATTAAATAGATGAAATCTACCATCGCGAGGCGTGTAGTGCACATCGTTGCACGACGACAGGTCAGCTCTCCTTGATCCGGCGGTGCTGCGGGAACCGAGTAACGCGGACGCAATCGATATCGGGCGGCCGCGTGCCAGGAAACTGAACGAATAATCCGACGATGAGGATGACGATGACGGCGACGAGGACGAGGGCACGCGGTTACGCTCGCGACGGACGTTCTCGTCGCTTATGCAACGCGATTATTGATTCCGGGGGTGTGCAGCGACGTCGAAAGGAGCAACATCGCTTCGCCGTGCTGGTACCTGCATACACGTACACCACTCATATATACACACACACACACATACGCATGTACGACGCGCATACACACACACACACACCACGTCGACCCTACCGCGGCGCTTCGCTAAATGTCAAACTCCTTTAACCCGGCGCCGGAGCGAACGCGCGCCGCGCACCGTGTCACGGAGAGAATCGGCGGCGAGATCGGAGCGAGATCACGAGGCGCTCGTCGCGCGCGCGCGCGCTAATCCCGGAGGTCGGTTAACCCTCTCTCTCCCCCGAGTTAAAGAGCCGACAGCCGAGTGCACTCGCCCCGTCCTCTCCGTCAAGGACGCCTTCGGATTTCCATCCCGAGGAACGTTTCCCAGATATCGCTTTATCCTCGTTCGACTCGTTCGTTTGGTGAACAACAAGGATAAAGTGACACCCGAGTGGTACTCGAGTGGGAATTTGAACATGGACCAGGTGTTAACCCGCTCCCCCTCGAGTGCTCGAGCCTCGAGCCGGAGCGTGAAGCGTCTCGCGCTCCGAGATTGAGGTTATGAACGCCTCGGCGGTGGACTGGACTGCGGAGCGAGCGGGGCTGCGCGAAGCGGAACAGCGGAAGCGGCTGGCAAGCGACGTGAAGGTTGGCGCGGATCGCTCGAGTGCGAAGTGAAGTCCGCAGGTGAGAACCTCACGGGGTGAAAACGAACGCCGCGAACGTGGCCGTTGATGGAACGGAAAATACCGCTAACAGGACCGACTGTCACTCACTCCCGGACTCCCGCTCGATAGGAATACAAACACGGTGCTCTAAAAATAACGACGCGTGTCGGACGGAGAGGGAAGGAATGTGAAAGAGAGAGAGAGAGGGGGCGCGTTTACCTCCTGATGGTTCCCCTTTCGTGGCACGTATTAGGCTAAGGCGATGTGTTCGAAGGAAATCGACGAACAAACAGCCGGGGCGATCACGGCCCTTTTAAGGCTGTCCCCCCTCCCTCAGTCACAATTTCATGATTTCCCGTGAGTGACGTATTGGAAGGAGAGGCTTTATCGCCGCGCAGACAGAAAGGCAGGCGAGCGGCGGCGGGCGGTGCATCCAGTAATGTATATGAAGATAGCTCCCGATCACAGACAGTGGAGGCGAGTGTTAAGTAAAATTAACTATCAGAGAGACAGAGAGAGAACAAAGTAATAATCTAGTAATAATCGATTCGTGTTGCCCTCTAGTAGATTGCGAGCGCAACTCCTCTCTCTTTTTCCTCTCTTTTTCTCTCTCTCTCTCTCTCTCTCTCATTCTCTCTTCTCTATCTCTTTTCCTTCCCCCTTCCCTACCTTTTTGTCTAGGATTGTTATTTTACCTCGAATCGCGGATTCGTTACGTACGATCGCGCGCTTTACTACGCTTGTAATACTTTGAGCCTTTTATTTCCGGTCGCACCTGTCGCCAACGCCACTTCCGGCATTCAAAACCAAAGATCCACGAGTAGAATACATAATAAGATCAAGATGACATGAAGTAAAAGTCATTTTAAGAAAAATCATAACGATGTTATTCGATACACTTTTGACAGTGATTTTGCGTGTAATTCTTGACATGACAGTCATTTTTTATTTAAAAAAACAAAATCATAAAAGTAACATCAAGTAGAACTTATTTTAGAAAAAATTATAATATTCGTTACGCCCAAGCAAAAACAAGTCATTATGATATAAAATAATATCAAAATAACTCCAAAATGATCATTAAAAATCATTTTCCAATCACTTCGATTCATTTTAATGTCATTTAATGATGATTTTATAACGAATTTGACATGATAATAATTTTTAAATGATTAATTTTTTTATTAATTTCTGATATGATAATGATTTTTAGGTGATTTTTTTACTAAAGAAATCACTTAAAAATCATTATCATAAAATCATCATGAAAATTGTATCGAATGACATCATATAATTTTTTCTGAAATGACCGACTTTTTTTTAATTAAAAAAATCACTTTAAAATTACTGTCATATCAAAAATTCATTACAAAATTATCAAAATCATAATTTTTTATAAAATAAATAACTTAAAAATTAAAAAGATTATATTGTCACGCCAAGAGTTTATCACAAAATTATCTTCAAAAGTGCATATTGACGTCAATGCGATTTTTCCTAAAATGACTTATACTTGATGTTATCTTAATCTTTTTGTAATTTTGTATCTTTTTGTGTTTTTGTGATATTATCTAAGTGATACGTAATTCGAAGAAAAAGAAAAGATGATACGCAAAGACCGCGTGATTGATGTCCATTTTTTACCAATGTAGATTTTTTAATCTTGATTTAACTTATTTTTTGTCTTTTTCTAGTTCTAACCCAGATAGAACACGGAGCCATAATTAAGTCATAATTACAGAACGTCATCATGACGTCATTTGATACTTAAAAATGAGTAACGAATGAAGTCATGATGATATCGTTATGACTTCTGTGTTCTACTTCTTGGGAAGAATTAGAAAAAGATATTCGTTAAGTCAAGGTTAAAGTTAAGGTGCATTTATAAAAATAGCAACGACGCGGGAAAAAAAGGGGATTCTCTGCGAGATAAAAATTTCGTACCGAGAGAGAAACGACCCGAGTACACATCGGAAAGAGCACACGGAAATTTAATCCGTTCAGTAAAAGCCCTCTGCGACGAAAGATCAACGGCGGGACGATGAGAGACGTCGGGACGCCGGGCGTCGTCGTCGCGACGCGACGCGGCGACGCGTTCTCCGTGCTCAAGATGGTCCAGCTCACTTACGAACGTTACGAAGTTCACGTAATCCTCTCATCCCCGGCTATTTCGAACTGGGCAATAATCAGCAGTGGCCGCGTTGCTTCCTTTTACGATGCCGACTCCATGCGTCTCAACTGCGACGTCAAACGATCGAAGGTAGTGAGAGAATGTTAAACTTTATGCACAATGAAAGCACAGAGAATACAATCATCGTATATTATAAATTTTGTAATTTTTTAATCAGGCAATTATTATTCATTAGACAATTATTACTTATATATACTGAGAAAAAAGTTCTAATTGTACCAACAAGAAGTACAAATAAAATAAATTAGATATCGAGAAAAATGTTCTGATTGTACCAACGAGAAGTACAAAAAAAAAACCAAATTCGATCATATAAATTAGATATTGAGAAAAATGCTCTGATTGTAGTAACGAGAATACAAACAAAATAAATTCTGATTATATAAATCAAAGTTCTGGTTGTCGTAATTGAATTTCTAGTTACTTCGAATAGAATGTTTAATAGATTTAACTGTCTAATTTGTATGTTTCTGATTGAATCTATCAGAATTAATGCAACAGGAGTTTTTTTTTCAGTGCAGACTTGTCGACTATTATCGCAAAGTCAATTTGATGAAATTTCTGTTGTTTTACTAGCAGTCTTACATTATCTATAACATCTATGTTCTAGGAAAGTAATATAAACTTGACATTTTGCAACTTTCATGTCTGTTTCTACCACGGTAGAGTAACTTTGATCTCAATTTATAACTTAACCATCTTTTCTTGTTTTAAGAATTAGAAAAAATAAACAACATGTTAAACTGAGATTAAAGTTAATCTACATTGATAAAAGTAGAGGGATGATGACGATTGACGAATCGGATTTGAACAAAATGGAGCTACGTTCAAATGTTAAATTCATGATGTGGAAAGCTTTACATTGAAAAAAAAATAAAGTATCAATAAGAGATACGAACAAATTGTATTCTGATAATACCAATCAAAATTCTGGTTATCGTAATTGAATTTCTGATTGCGTTATTTCGAGTAGAATGTGTTTAATAGATTTCACTACGTTCTAAAAAATTTAGCGTGGATTTAACACCGTGAGTGTTAAATATAATTCTCACCTTGTTGGTGTTGATTTACCAAAACACCAACAAAATGTGGATTTAACATCATGAGTTTTAAATCATACTGTTAAATTTATAATGTTATAAATTATAACTAATTGGAGTTATTTTTAAAATTATTTCTACAGGTCGCTACTGCTCCTAGTAATTTAACTAAAACAATGCAGTTAAACAATTTAACTCAAGAAAATATGTTAAATTTTATTCAAATTTAGTTTATTATTTACTAAGTGCACATTAATATGAATGTTGTTTACTTCAACCACAGAAATGGATTGATTTACATTTTGACACACATAGAAGTTAAAATGTTATTTTAACAAGAGAGATTGATTTAATTTCTCTGACTCCTTTGATATCTAACAGTGTAATGTTCAATCCACACCCACAGTATTAAATCCACATCATGTTGGTGTTTATGTCAACATCAATATGGAGAATATGGAGAAATAATCACCGCGCGAGATGTTAAATTCACACCTATATTTTTTAAAGTGTATAAGTATCTGATTTGTATCTATAATATATGGTCGAACCTATTTCGAATTCCAATTAATGCAGATTTTTTCCAATGCAGAAAAAAGAAACAACGATAAAAAAAGGAACATGACGGAAGTGATCGGACATAAAGGCGATGCCGGTTCTTGTCAAGATCGAATTTCGTGTATCGTGATATCTCCTCGAGCGACCGGATGACGTGATCTAAGGGACAGCTTCTTGCATCGATCTCAACGAAAATTGCGTAAGGAGAAGCAATTTCCCGTTCGTGTCGTTCTGCACAGCGTTTCCGTCGCTTTTCATTAAAACGAGCGTCGGGCATTTGGCGCGCGCGCGTAATTGCATTTCGCCGCGCGCATTTGAGCGGCGAAACCGCGCTGGGGCGACTTTTATAGCGCAATCTCGCGACTTGAAATACCTCCAAAATGCATTTCGGCCCCTCCCTTCTTCTTCTTCTTCCTCCTCTCCATCTTCTGTCGTAAAAAGTTCTTCGAGTTTCGCTTTGAACAGCGTCGACTAATGTCCACTTCTACCAATGTAGATTAACTTTGATCTCATTTTGAGGATGTATTTGCACGTATTTTTTTAACAAAATGAAAAAATTATGAAAAAGTTATAAATTTTTCTATATTGTATTTGAAAGTAATACAAAAAGCAATTTAGAAAATGGGTAAGATATGGATAAATGTATGTATATAGCCGGATCTTTTCAATGTTTCTTCCACTATTTATAACTTTTTCATTAACAAAGTTACATTTTTTACTTGATATTGTTATATGTTCCTTAATGTTTGGTGTTTCGATTACAAAAAAATTTATCAATATATTC